CCGGTTGACATCTGATCTCTTTTCATTACTTCCTGCTTAACTTTAACTTCCTCTTTAACTAACCAAGTTGGGTCATTTCATTATCATAGCTAACAGCTTAAAGGCAACATGAGGAGTTTACTTCTGCGATACAAACTTGATGATCTTCAGAAAGGTTAGGATATGTTTATATTCTTTCACAGTAAAATATTCCCACTCTTTCTCTTCAGAAACAATTATGATAACCCGAGCCCCAGATCTGATATTTGTCATTTAAAAATTCTCCATGGGTCCGCTCAGATCCCGCTTCTGCCCAGTCTCCCTTCAATCCGTCCAGGCACACTTTGTTACTCGGTGAATTGCTAGCTGTAGCACTCACCTGATGGTATCACAGTTTCTCACTTGCCGTCTTTTACTCTGTAACAGTCACTCCATTGGAGACAAATATATCTATATATTTGTATATGCCTGGGTGCTGGCGCACAGCAGCAGTAAGTGTTGACTGGAAAACTGAATGAATGGTTTAAGCATCTGGGAAGAGAGAGGAAACCAAACCAGGTGGAAGTTGTCTGGATCAGCTTGCTGGAGAAGGTGGCAGTGATCATCTGCTTTGACATCACCCTTTGCCTTATAATTAGGGTAACATCGCTGCCAGTATCTTAGAGCTGTAAATAAATGCGCGATGAGAAGATGGTGTTGCTGCCTTAAAGCAGTTAACTGCAGGTATTTACAAAGTATTCTGAATTTAATTCTTTCTCATAAGGAAGAACTTGTTGGGGATATAGAAGTGACTAGAATTGCATTTGTAATCTTGAGAGGGAAATTGGCACATTCAAAAACTACTGACTGACTGAAGGTGAGCACCGCTGGCCGCCTGCTCTCAGGGGGCCTGTGCTGACACGTGGACCAACGCCAGGCAGCCTGGGAGGAGGCTGCCGAGGGGAGCAGGATGCGGTGAGGAGACCCCAGAGGGGGAGACATGGGTTCCAGCTGCTGGTGGGAGAGGCGAACCAGGTGGCTAGAAATGTTTTTCACATAGATTCTCTTGCGCTTGCTGTCTTAAGTGCAATCAATATGCCACAGGCAAAGTGACCTCTTTGTGATCATCCATGTGACCCCTGGTTTGGGGGCTCAGTCAGCTGAGAGCCGCAGTCCCTCTGCTACGTTGCCCAGACTCTTCTGGACTCTTGCATCTGCACCTAGTTCTTTTGTGCCTCTTGGGTGGGAATCTTGCCAGCTGTCAGGGCGCTCACTTCCCCCATCTGCGGTCTGATTTGTTAAGGGCTGTCACAGATAAAGGGAGAGTGAGATTGCATCAGTTTTGAGTGTCCTGAGGCTTTTTTATGGAAGTGAAACTTAGAGTAAATATCATTCAGGCAATCACAGCCATCTTTATCATTTAACGGCATGGATATTTCCTGATACGTATTCGCTTGTTTATAATGAGAACGGTCTTCTATTCCATATCTGCCAAGTGCTTGGTGTCATGGCAGTTGCTTTGTAGACATGGCTTCAAGTGCTCAGAACTTCCCTACAAGGTAGACGGTGTTTATATTCATTTTATAGAAGAGGAAACTAAGGTTTAAGCCATGAATTACCTTTCCCTGGGTCTCATCGCTGGTAAACAGCAGGCTGTTTCTTCCCCAGTCTGTCTGACTCCAAAGCTTAGGTTGTCCTAACTGCTCCACCCTGCCTCTGCAGGTGGAGTTGAGGGTCCTGTGCTGGGGGTGGGGGATGCTTGGGCCTAAGGAGACGCAGGGTCCTGCCCTCGGGAGCTTTGCCTGGTGGGTGGGGGGAGCCTGGATAACTGGTCCCAGAAGAGGAACTGTTTCTGTTGTGTGATGCAGAGTACAGATTATTCCAGGGCTGTCTGCCCTTTTGTCCGTCTTCTGCTGATACCTGCCTCTCTTGGGGAATTTAACCGAAGACTGATAGAGGGGAAAGATATGTTACAATCTTCTAGTCATTTATCTGTGCAGGGTCCCACTGGGGAAACAGATCAAAGGAATCTTTCCAAGGGACTTAACACCTATACTGCTAGATCTAGACTATTTGAAGCAATAAGAAAACTATGTATCATGCTTGGCACACGTGTACTGAATAGTAAATAGCTATGGTTTTGACTCTGCTAGAATTTGAAACAATGCCAAAAGTATTTCGATTTAACATCTTCATTTATTTACACTGACTCTGGCTTTTACAACAGTCTGGCTTGTTGCCCATTATCACAAGAGATGGGAAACTTTTTCATAACAAAATTCATTTTAATTCATGTCTAAATATGTGCCTTAAAGAGAATTTTAAAGGAATCAAACTTAGACTAATTCAGAATTTAAGGGGCCCTGAAGGTTGTATCAGGAAACAAAGTGATGATGGAAGGCTGGAACTTCAGAAAAGGGGAAGACAACAACTCGCACGTTAATGAGTCGGTGGCAAGTTTAAATAAACAGGAAGTAAGGTAGTATGCGAATCTTCATCAAGTTTCTCTGTTTATTTATTTATTTATTTATTTATTTATTTATTTAATGACTTTTTTATTGAGTTATAGTCATTTTGCAATGTTGTGTCAAATTCCAGTGTAGAGTACAGTTTTTCAGTTATACATGAACATATATATATTGTCACATTTTTTTTTCACTGTGAGCTACCGTAAGATCTTGCATGCATTTCCCTGTGCTGTACAATATAATCTTGTTTATCTATTCTACATATGCCTGTCAGTATCTACAAATTAAGTTTCTCTATTTTAGAGGTAATTCTATCAAAGAGTTTGCCATTTCTTGAATAAAGTGAAGTGTATGTTTTAAAAAAAACCCAGAATAACTTAGTCGTAATCATACTCAAACGTTATTTGACAGCCTTCTGCGTGAGTCACATTGTGCTGTTTGTTATGAAATTCTTGTGTGTCTGCATCTTGATCCCTTTCAGGGGAATGTTGACGTGACGGAGGCTTTTCCAGGGTCCTGGACATTTCATGTCAGCGTGTACCAGCTTCACTGGGAAGGGAGATGAGAAACTGGTCAGGGGAGTAATTTCTGTTAGTAAATAGCTTGACATTCAAGAAATTCATTACCTTGACACAATGGGCTGTATTTTCCCAACGTATATGTTGTTCCTGGAGAAGGTGAAGGGTGAGTCAGGCTCTCTCAAGGCTTGTGTTAACACTGTCAGGTCAGAGAGTACAAAGTGTTAAACCCGGGCCTGTAAGGAATTGATGCCAGTTATAAAAACGCCCCGTTTGGCCGTGTGGGACCCTGCAGAAACTGTGCGCGGCTTTGCTTGTTTACTTCCCAGTGACTGAATGACTTCCTTTCTTGTGAAAGGGGCTTCAGCGCTGTTTGCTGTGCTCTGTGCTGGCTCCAGACCCCAAAGCTGCTCTAGGCTGGTCATGGCCAGTGTCTGTTCATTAACTCCTCCATTTCCAAGATTCCTGCTATTTGGAAACTGTGTTGAGCACCTTCTATGCATCAGTCACTGTGCTAGGAGCTGGAGTTAGATTTTTTTTAAATTGAATAGGACAGTCCAGGGGGAGCAGGGATCACAAGAGGCTTCCTAGAAGCGGGGCCCTGTGAGCGGAGTCTCGAGGCAGAGTTGAGCTGGCACAGGTGGCATCCTCAAGCCCTCTTGCATCCGCCCTTTCTCCGTCATTGTCCTTTTTCAGCTCTCCCCTGGCTGCCTCCGGTCTCCTTCACCCCCACCACTGTGCAGCATTGTCTTTTCCTGACGCCTCGTTCCTCTTCAGCGCTTCCTGCTGTTTTCCAGGACTTTCTGGCACGGGGGCTCCATGCACAGCCCCTTCCACAGCAGAGAGAGCGCTCGGGGAGCTGGGGGCCCCAAGAGAGAAAAACGTGTTTCCTCTCTGTTACGTTGAAACCATCCCTGCTTTGCTCTGGGCGTCTCAGCCACAGACTTAATTCAGAATCAGTGGTCGTAGTGACAGGAACGGATTGAGGAGGGAGGAAGTCGTTCCGTGAGT